TTATTTGGTAACGTATAGCATCGCTGTGTGATCCTTGTTTATTACTCAAACAATTGGAGTCAATTGGAGTTACAGCGATTTTTAACTATGATGCTTTCCAATGGGTATTAATGTTTGTCTTAAACACACAATTTTTAAGTTATTTTTGTTCAATTGATTTTACTGTTACCAAATAATTGCTTTCTTTATAGGAACAAAATCCGTATTGAAACAGTATTTCCTATGAATTTACAATAACTGGTTTTTTGAAACATGCTCAATATTGTTTATTGCAAATATTTATTACAAATATAAATTAACGAAAATACCATGCCACTAATTTTTATTTGGGAGTATTTAATATCAACAAAGATTTTAATTAATTTAAAAATTAACAAAAGGTGCACAAAATTTTTATCTAAAATATAAGTATAATTTAAGTTATTTAAGTAAAGTAAAGTAAAGCATCCTTTTATTGGAATCATTATCAGCACTGCTGGTATTCTTAATAATCCAATTACATTTAGTGTTTTGATATACAATACATATTACATATTTCAATAAATATTACATATTTATAAAATAATGTTCGGAATATTCTTTGTTATTATTTCATTACATCTTTAAAATAAAACATTATTAATAAACATGTTCACAAATATATAACTAAATAATTGATATTATCAAATAAATGGGTGTTTTGCTGTAATCTATCAGAACGTTATTCAATATTTTACACAATAAAGTGTACAAAATTGTTATATTCAGTAAATTTTAGTTACAATCCAATAGTGTATTAAATTACAAACACTTGGCTTTAGTCATGATTGCAAAAGAACTTATTTTGCTTAACAATAAAAATACGAAAATAAGTTCTTTCATTAAAAAATAAATTCAGATAAATTATAAATCAATAATTGATTCCAACATTTTTTTTAATTTAACTCTATATTTAAATTTTAAAATGATTTTAAATTTTAATAAGATTTCTATTATTATTATTGTAATATTAATTGTAAATATATTTCTTACAATTGCTGCAAATACTGCTGAAGAAGGTTTGTACAATTTGTTTTATACAAATTGAATTAACTTATAATAAATTTCATGAATTAAATAATTGTAATAAATATTAATAATTATTTATAAAAATGATTTTTTAAACCATATTTAAGATGCGATCAAAAGGTTGAGAAAAGATTTGTTTACGAATAGGGGTTACGATCCGATGATAATACCCGTCAAGAACTGGAGCCATACTCTTAACGTTGCCGTTACTTTCAATTTGTTAAAAATAATTGATTTGGTAAACAGTATTAGTTTTATTAATATATTATAGACATCAAACATTTTATGATTTAAATTGTTAATATATTTCATGTCAACTAAATAACAGGATATTAATTCGCATGTAATGACAACTGAAGGTTGGCTTATATTAATTTGGTATAAGAATATAATTATAATTATTTAAACGATAACAATAATATGTAATATTTGAATGTTAGGGATGATCAACACCTAACGTGGAAACCGGAAGATTATGGCGGAATCGGTGCCATTCGTGTCAAACCCGAAGAAGTGTTTAAACCCGATATCATGTTATATAACGCGGCGGATGTGCTGTCAATGAAAGACAACTTAATTCAGACAAATGTGTTGTTGTATTCAAATGGTGTAGTGTTTTGGGTTCCGCCCATACTATTGAAATCGTTTTGTCAGTTAGACTTAACCGACTGGCCGTACGATCAACAAAATTGTTGGCTTAAGTTCGGGTCGTGGACTCACGACGGACTCGCCATCAATATATCCGCGGGTAAGTTATTGTTGTCATAATCATTGTTATCATAATTAGTTAACAAATATGCTTAGACTCCAAGATATCACTCTCTGACTACTGGACGAGTCAAGAATGGGATGTCTTAGACACCAGAACAGAGAGAAAGGATATGTACTACGACTGCTGTCCGGAGCCCTATCCAGACGTGACATTCTTCTTGAGATTGAAGCGAAAGACATCTCTCTATCACTACACGGTCTTCATTCCCGTCACGACTGCTGTTATTCTCAATCTTTTGATGTTTTGGTTTTCAATCCGATCTAACGTCCGATTCCTGTTGTCATCTCTAAGTCTATTACTTCTAACAATCATTTTATTATATTTGGGATCAAAGTTTGGTTTCGGAACCGACACTATCCCATACGCCGGTAAGTGATACTAATTATTGCATAGAATAGTATTTAACACAATGTTATTGTAATGTATTTCTCAGTTCGTTATATAAGTCGAATAATACTAACAATTGGGTTAACTCTGGTTTGGACTACAATTGCACATAACGTACAGAATCTGAACATTCAATTGCCTGACGCTATGAGACGAGTGACGGCTACCACTCAATGGCTTGTCGTCTATTCAGGCAATGAAAACAGCGATACAAATGGCTTAATAAGTGACGATAACGTCAACAATAATCCTAAGGATAAATCACTTGAGATATTAATCCTATTAATTGATAAACTAATGTTCGGAATATTCTTTATTGTTATTATTTCATTACATCTTTAATTTTACGCATATTTATAATATGGTTATTATGTATTTAATCTAATGACTAATTTAGCTGTTCTAATATTATTAATATACAATATAAGTTATATACTTTATACAACTTCAACAAATAAAATAAAACTCTACTAATAAATTACTAATATTTTCTAACATTTCAATCAAAAAATATATAAAGCGATTAATTACTAACTTATATTAACAAAAACTAACAAATTTTAAAGCAATATTACGTTAAATAAAAAATGATGACAAACTAACTGAGAAGTATTGTTGTCCAATAAACGAGATTAAAAACTACAAACATAATCGGGAATACAATCCGACACTTCCTGTCGATTGACTCCGCGATCTCAACGGGTGTTCGCTTTAAGGGGTCGTACGACGGGGTAGAGGGGGTCTGGCGGTCAAAATTGGGTGTTTCGGGCGTTTCCGGTGGGGTTATTGTCAAGTAATTTCGCTTTGTTACTGGACTGGACGGTACGGTTAGTGTTAAACCGCTATTCAGTCGTGGAGACTGAGGCACTTTTAGTTCAATGCCTTCAAATGAAAATCTTGAGATGTTTTGCCTCTAAAAACAATGCAAATAATTGAAAACAAGCCATCAATTAAACGGTAAATTTATAATACATTTTTGATATCGTTTGCTTGGATCGTGAGCTGCGAGTCGCCCGACACTAACGACAGTTGACTTTGACTTAGAGTCCTTCGCATTGTCTTAATTTCCTTGATTTTTCTTTTCTCGGCTCTCGATATATACGTAACGACAGAGAACTCAATCAATGATAAAAATATAAAACCTATATTTTGTTACAACAAAAGTAAAATTATGTTTAAAAGTTTAATTCAATTTGTTGTTTATGAATGCAAAATACCGGTACAAACGACAAACCAGATGTCCAGTGCGTTAACATACGAGATGTTGGGCAGTCTTTCTCGGGCCTCTTTGGCTACCGTAACAAACGTTAACATTGTTGTGATGCCTAACGTAATGCGGGCCGGAGTGGCCGTTATCTCCATCCAGAAGGATATCCACGAGACTATTATGACCAGAGATG